CGATAACCAAATTTCAATTAGAACATTTGTTTGATCAACCTTATCGAACGATCGGCCGATCGATAATGATAATAATAAATAATAATAATAATAATCAAATCAACTAGTAAACACAAGATTTTCGGTCAAATCAATTCAATATTTGTTTGTATTTTTTTTTTTGATGATTGATAATTTGTTGTTGTTGTGATCAATCTAAAACTGATTGATCACTTTTGTTCTAGAACAATACAATTAATCGTTTGGTATTAATAATAATAATGACAATGATCAGCTAATGATGATGGATGATTGATACAACAATGTGTTGTGTTTGTTACAATGGGCTAATTAATGTAATGATGATGAAAAATAATTAATTTTCATACATATTCAACATACACACACATTCATCGATTCAGTTTTCCGTTTGTTTTTTTTATTTTTTATTTCATAATCGATTGATCGACCGAACTGATCGATTATGATAATTTTTTTTTCTCTCTCTCTCTCTCTATTGTCGTCCAGAAAAAGAAACTTTATCATCATTGATGATCATATGCATTATCTATTTTGTTCATCATAGCAAAAAAAAATAAAAAATAAAAATGCGATCCATGATGATTTTTTGGACATCAAAGTTGAATAAATAGAAAATTATCTCCATTTTTATTGTCCAATCATCATGATCATCATGATCATTGTGTGAATTTTTTTTTATTCATCGAATTTTATCGCGATCGATTGATCCTGACAAATGAGCCATTCAGTCAATCACTAAGTCAGTCAAGTACCAAGAAAAAAAAACGAGACAAGTTTAAAGAAACCAAGTTTAATTAACCCGGAAAGATCCCGATACAAGACGAAATTTTTTTTTTGCCATTTGTTCAACTTTCGATCACACACACACACACACAGATAACATGGTACGTTTTTTAATCATCATCATCATCATCATCTGTTGCTGATTTGTTCTCTTTTAGTTTAGTTTAGTTTTTTTTCTTTACTCAAAGACATTTCATTCAAGTGTTTTTCCAGTTTTCCATTTACCTGATTTCTCTTTCATTGAATTTTTATTTTTTATTTTGTATTTGATTTCGTTTTTTTTCCATAGAAATTATATTGTCGACCTTTTGTCGTCATCATCATCATCATCATCATCGTCGTCGTTGTTGTTGTTTTTTCCTCTTAAAAAACGTTGAATTTTTTTTCCTTTACGAATCAAAAAAAAAAAATCGTCGTCGTTATTGTTGTTTTTTTTCATTTGATACAAAGAAAAAAAAAGCAGGACAAATTCCAATCTGGAAACCACGTGCTTGTTTTTTTTTACCTGCGATATAAACACCGTGTAAAGATAGTGAAAGAAAGAAAACCTTGAAAACCTTCTGTTTTCTAATCGAACCGAATGAAAAAAAAAAAATATTGAATCCGGTTAATCAATTTGAGTTTGTGTGTATGTTTTTGCCACTTAAAAATTTGTTCACCTTTTTTTTGTGGCGAAAAAAAAACCAAAAGATTTTTTCCATCGAAATTTTTTTATTTCGAACCATCATCATTTGATCTATAATAATAACGATATATTTATTTTTGTTCAAAAACAAACAAACAAACAAACATTCATCACCCTTAGGGGTTAGTCAGTTTTTTTTTTGCATTTAACGTTGAAATGTTGTTGATGATTTTTTTTTTTTTGGTTGGCCACGATAATAAATAAATACGTTTAATGTATGAATTTGTAATCGACTTTGAAATTGAAATTTCATCTTTTTTCACACACACACACACACACACTGACATTTTTTTGTTAATCTTTGGGTTTATACATTGAGATAGTGGAAAGTAAAAAAAAAAATTAATGATAATGATATGATGATGATGATGATGATACCTGTACATTTTACGTGTGTGACTACATGACAATCATCGCACATACACAAAAAAAAATTCCTGTTTAATGTTCAGATGATGATGAGAATCATCATTAATATATGGTCATAATTTCCATTTGATGAACAAAAATCAGATTTTTTTGGTGGTGTTGGTGATTAAATTTTCATTTTTTTTTTTTTTGCATTCCTTACTCATTGTCAATCATGAATATTTTTTTTTTTTTTTTTTTTGGTGTGGAATTTCATGAATCCACGTGTCTCTGTGTGTGTGTGTGTGTGTCACACATCTAAATCCTTGATAGATTTCACTGTGTGTGTGTGTGTGTGTGTGTGTGTGTGTGTGTGCGTTTGTAATTGCCAATGCGATACATTTTGAATCTGAAATGATGATGATGATGATGATGATGACAACAACTACAACGATAATTAGCGGATGATCATAATAAATTCATATTGAAAAAAAAAATTATTAATAATCAATTTTCAAAAAAAAAAAAAAAAAAAAATGAAAATTACACACACACACATACAATAATTAATTAGTGTTATAATTGCCGTCATTTTTTTTCTTTTTTTTCAATGTGATTCCAATCACAGGGAGAGAGAGAGAGATAATATTCGGATCTGTCATTCAAAATTAAATCAATTTTTTCTGTCTTCACTTTAATTTACACAGCTTTGACATTGTTTTTGTTGTATCTTATCTCTCTCTCTCTTCATGTCTCAATGATGACCAAAAAAAAATTGACAAAGTTCCAAATCCACAGAGATAGTGGTGGCGGTGGTGGATGAGCATTTACATCCATTATACCGCTATATTGATGAATTCTTTCATATTTTTTTTTGATTTTTCCATCCAAATTCAAGGTTAGTCAATCAAAACAAATAAAAAAAAATGAGATAAAATTAAATAGAATTGACGCCATTTAATTTAATCTAGAAAAAAAATAAGATGAAAATGATGGAAAAAAAACTTTTGAATCAACAAGTGAAAACAACAACAACAACAAAAAAATAACATGACATATATGGTGACGTCAAACGACGATTGAATAATTATTGTGTGTGTGTGTGTGTAACGAAAAATCAGTGATTGAACAAGAAATTAATTTTTTTTTGTTGTTGTTGTTTTCGTTTCTGGTTCAAACTTTTATAATTCAAGATTCTTATCAATAAATTTATTGATTATTGATTGATTTCATTGGGATTTCCATTAGCTTCATAATGTCTGTTTCCGGTTTGTATTTGAATTTTTTTTTTCATCTCCAATAATAATTTGTCACATTCGTTTTTTTTATTTTTTATCAGATCAATCAATTTCTTTTGCCCAATGATGATGATGTTGATTTCTTCATCAATGGATCGAAATTGTCGCTGTTGTTGTTGTTGTTGTTGTCATTTGATCTGTCCACATCCATCGTGTTGTTGTTGTTGTTATTTACAACACACAACAACAACAAGGTTGACAACTTTCTATAAATAACGAAAAAAAAAATTCCAATTAATCCATAATTAATATATTTGAAACATTCACAACGTAGACGATGAACATTTGGAGACATTTATTTGTGGAAGAAAATTTTTTTTTCCAATCAATAATTTTGCTTTTTTTCCATTTCACTTTTCAGATTGAATGATCAATTTTTTTTTTGTTGGGCGTCATTAATTATCATTTGGTGCTAAAATTTTTTTTTCTCTTCTTCTAAACACCCAATGTAGAATTCATCAACACACGCACTACCGGTTTTGTCAATTCATATTCTTTGAATTTTGAAATGAATTGATTTTTTACATTTACTTGCACACACACACACACACACACATAAACAATTAACACCTTTTTTTTCATGCTTGTGATTCTACAATTTTCTTCTTTGCAATTGATGGATTTTGTATTCGATTGGTTGGTTGATTGGTTTTTGCAAAAAAAAAAAAAAAAAAATTCATAAAAACAATACAGATGTATACATAAAATATGCCCATATGATCAACAGGTCTGCAGGTTAGCATCAACAGGTTAGCAGCGGCAGCAGCAGCAGCAATATTCCTACAATAATTTTTGATGATTTATATGAATGGAGCATCACACAAGTGGTCTGTTGAAGAAAATGTTTCGCCTTTTTTTTCTTTTTCTTCTTCTTTTTTTTCTACTTCCCATTCAATTTACTTTTAACAATTTCATTCAGACAACACCATACAGATAGATATATGATGATTATTTATTGCATTTATCGTACCGTATTTTGAATGATCATTTTGGTGATTCTTCTATCTTTCATTCATATATCGATTGAGTTTGTGTGTGTGTGTGTGTGTGTGTGTTAATGGCAATCGACAATCGATGGTGATATTGATTTTATTTATTAAATTTTGTTTGTTTATTTTTAATCATCACTTGTTGCTGTTTAAAGAAATGAAATTTTTTGTTTTCAAATTTTAAAATATTGTTCACGCTATTTGTGTGTGGTTCATCATCAGCTGGATAAATCGTTCGATCGAATTGATAAATGTGTTTTTGTTTTTTTGTTTGTTAGACGAAAAAAAGTGACCGGATTTAGGAGAATTTTTTTCCCTCTATGGTGAGTTTTATTTTTAACATCGATTATCGATCGATTGATTTTTGTGTGTGTGTGTATGTGGAAATTTTTCAAAATTCACTTGAAAAATTATTATTTTGTTTGTCGCCTTCCGTTTTCATGCAATCACTCACATTTGACAGGATTGATGACCTTTTTGTAAATTTCGAGAAAAAAAGACAGACGTTAATTTAGTTTGAAAAATACCAGAAAAAAAACGAAATTTCCTTCCTGCGACTGTGTGTGTGTGACCTCGACCAAGAATTTTTTTGTTTTTGTTTTTTGTTTTCACCATATCAGATCTGATTTGTCGATAATCATCATCATCATCAATATTAACATTCATTATCAGAGTGATTTTGTTGTGGTTACATTATAAATGCAAAATTTTTAAAAATTTAAATTTAATTTGAAATTAATTTTTTTTCTGTTTATTCCCTTTTAGATCATTATTTTTATCCATTTTCATTCATTAAAACATCATCATCATTCGGTCAACATTAACGACAACAACAAAAACAACATTGAACAACAACAAATAAACAAAGTTCAAAACATTCAACGTTTTTTTAGTCATTCATTATTTATTTTTTTTTTTGTTTTTTTTGTTGAAACAAATTAATTTGGCTCATGATCACAACAATCGTTAATCGTTGAATCGTGCGTTCACTTTTTTTTTCTTTTATATGTATTTTTTTTCTACTATTTGAATCTCATCTTGTCCAATTCTAATCATCATCATCATCATCATCATCATAATTAAATAATTCAATTTACAATGGCTTACTCATTACCAGTCAGACAATTTGGGATTCTCCTATGGAAATCCTTCATCATTCGTAAACGTCATTATATATGGACTTTTCTGGAATTAGCATTACCAATATTCATTGCATCATTATCGATAATAGCTAATTCTGGTGGTAAAGGTGGTACTAGTGTTGAAGAACCAATCCGTTATCGTCCAGTACCAGTGGAAAAATCTTTACGTTCATATTATACAGTATTGTATACACCTGTAAATGAATTTACAGTGAATCTAATGTCAAGATTAAATGAAAAAATTGATTGCCGTGGCGTTGAATCTGAAGAAGAATTGGATGATATAATAAAATCCGAAATACCATTTACGATATCAGATTCGGTGGAAAAATTGCTGTTAGGTTTACAGGAAAATGAAACAATCGCTGGTGTGATATTTCATTTTAATGATGAATTCAGTGATACACCGGAACCGACTATCGATATCGGTAACGATACAATGGTACCACAGAATCTTCGTTACACATTACGTGTACGAGATTTTGAATTACAACATGATGCCTATCCAAAAAAACAGGATTTCGGCCCATTTCCAAATGCAGATCATTATATAAAGAAAAATTTTGTCGCCATCCAATCATTGGTTAATTATGCCTATCTTCAATTATTGAGTGAATATCTTTATCAAAATGGTACTGATGTGCCATTTCCAATACCGGATATGCGTGATATTCGTGCACAACGTTTTCCATATCCAAAATATATTAGACATCCAAGATTTCAGGTATCGATTATATCACGTTTTTTTCCTGGTGCAACCAAATTGAACACAATTCAATTGACAATGGAATATTGTACCATATTGGGTTTTGTCGTCATGATTGTTTTGCTCATTAAAGGTTCGTTAAATCATCATTTTTATTATTAAATTTAACTGTTTTTCTTTTTCTTCTCTATAAAAAAATAAAGGAATTGTTGATGAAAAAGTCAATCGAGCTCGTGCAATGCTTCGTTTAATGGGATTAAAAGATTTCATCTATTATAGTAGCTGTTTTGCCAATACATTCATTGTCATGGTTGTACAATCGGCAATTTTAACATTGATGTTTTGTGTTGGCAGTGAAGCACAGCTAAAAGGTGCATCAACATCATTAGTATTCTGTTTATTGATTCTTTATTCATCGGCATCGATAATGTTTGCAATGGCTATTGCGGTGTTTTTTAAAAAACCAACCAATGCTATGATTATCGGTTTTATTATGTGGCTTTCCATCCAAGAAGTGGTGGCAATGTTGTTTGAAAAACGTGCCGGTCTCACCGAAACATCCGGTTTGATTCATATACCAGAATGGGCTCATCTAATCATTTGTGCATTGGTTCCAAATTATGCACTTAAAGTGAGCAATGAATTATTTGTCGAATCAGAAGTATATGCTGCATATGGAACATTTGTATCACAATATGCACAATATTCAGCTCATTGGTCGAATATATTCCGAGTATTACCATTGTATAAATATCTAAGCGTATTACGTGTTGCTGGTGCATTGATTTTCTCCTGTTTATTTTACGGTGTAATCGTCTGGTATATTGATGTTTATTGTGTCTATAAACGACAATCAAACGAAAAATACCAAGGCGGTGATGATGATGGTTACGATAATCCAGCTTATGAAGAAACAGATCCGGAAGAAAATCGTAAAAAATATTTCGAAGCAGAACCGAAAAAACTTCGTGTCGGTATCCAGGCAAAAGGATTGCGAAAAGAATTTGCCGTTAAAGTAGCCGTCAAAGATGTTACATTGAATGTTTATCATGGACAAATCACTGTTTTATTGGGTCATAATGGTGCTGGTAAAACAACATTTGCTTCGATGCTTACTGGTCTTTATCAACCAACAAGTGGTGAATTAAAAGTAGACGGAACTGATGCTATCAAAAATCCTGAATTTTCTCGACGTCGAATGGGTTTATGTCCACAATTTGATGTTCTTTATGATGAATTGACATGCGAGGAACATCTTCGTTTGTTTGCCGTTGTTAAAAATTGTCCACCAAAACGTGTTTCAATGGAAGTATCACATGTACTTGAACAACTTGGTCTAACATTTAAACGTCGTGTATTGAGTAAAGATTTATCCGGTGGAATGAAACGACGTCTTTCACTTGGAATGGCCATGATAAATAATACGAAAATATTGATTCTCGATGAACCTACCTCAGGGTTAGATCCGGAAGCACGTCGTGGTGTATGGGACTTTCTTCTATCTATCCGTAAAGATCGTCTTATCATGTTATCCACTCATTGGATGGAAGAAGCCGATGTACTTGGTGATCGTATCGCTATAATGTCACGTGGTCGTGTTGTTTGTTGTGGTTCATCCATATTTCTTAAACGTGTCTATGCTGGTGGCTATCATCTTCGTATTGCTAAATCGGATAAATTTGATTCAAAATATTTCCAAAAATTTGTCCGTGAAAATTTACCCGATTCGAAATTGGAAAATGAAACCGGTAATGAGATCAAATTCACTATAGCACCCGAAGATACGAATAAATTACCGGATTTTTTTGAAAAATTGGAAAATGATAAACAAGAATTGGGTGTATATTCATGTGGTGTGAACGTATCATCGATGGATGATGTATTCTTAAAGGTTATTGAATTGGAAAATACCAAATCAAAATCATTAGAAGCAGCCGAAGCATCTATGAATCATGATCTACAAACATTGGCCGTAGCACGTACTAGTCGTGCTAATTCCGTTATTTCAATATATGCAACACAACAACAGAATAAAACAAATGGTGATGGTGCGCCGGGCGCATTCAAAACAACAAACAATCATCTAGATGTATTCAATAATAATGCATTCCGTGCCGGTAGTTTTAGTACTGATCGTCCACTTTATAATAATAATATTGGTGATATTATTCAACGACAAACACCAAAAGTTCCACCTGGACGTTCATTGACCATATTGAAATTGAAAGCATTATTATCGAAACGTGTACATGATATAAAACGTAATACAAAAACGGTGGTGCCCATACTTGGCATTGCTATTGGTTGTATTCTGGCTATTCTTGGTTTGATTGAAACCACTGTCAATGCAACTGATCGTTTTCCAAATTGGAGTATGGAAATCAACACACAAGCAGCCGGTTATGGACATGATAATCTACGTGCCATATATTTTGACCAAGAAAAAAGTAATAACATATCATTCCGTAATTATTATGCAAAAGAAATTCGTCATGAACACTTTGGCCTTGTACAATTGGATGATTCACGTAATTTGGCACAATTTTTCGGTATACGATCAATAAATACTAATCGTAATAAAGGTGCATATCTGGATAAATTCTATCCAGATAAAGCTGAATCTACTACACATTCATCATCATCAAGAGTTCCAACAACACCACCACCATCAACGGCACCGGCACGAAATTATTCACAAGCATCTGATCGTCTTTTGGACATTGCACTAAGAGATTTAAATATTTATCGTGAAAAATGGCTAATTGGTGCATCCACAGAATATTATCGTCGTCGTTGGCTATATTTTGCATGGTACAATGGTGAAGCAGCACATTCATTACCAATCAGTATCAATTTATTGTATAATGCATTATTGAAAAAATTGATATCGAAAGCAAATTCATTATCCGTTGCAAATGGTGGTCCATCATATAATCCAGATAATTTTAGCATTAGCCTTGATCAAATTACATTCGAACATTTTAATCCACATTCAGCTTTTCTACCATTTTTTGGTCGTGTTTATAATGGAATATTTTTTCCATTTTCCGTTTCATTTATTGCTGCATTCTATGTATTGTTTCCTACACATGAACGTATATCCAAGGTATGTATTTTTATTTCTGAAATCCATCTGAATATAATCATTGTAAATTTTTTTTTCTGTTCAGGCAAAACTTTTACAGCTAATGACCGGTCTTAGTGTACGGTTATATTGGATTTCTAATTTTATCTTTGATTATACCGTATATTTTTGTTATTTCGTTGCAATGTTTACATTGATATTGATTTGGGATCGTAGTTTTGGTTATGGTCTTTATTTCTCAAATCCATTATCAACATGTAAGTTTTTTGTTTTTTTGATTTTTTTTCATCCTAATCGAATTTATTTTTGTTTTTTTATTTGTTTGAAAACAAAAACAGTGGCATTCATGTCATTATTTTTAACATTCGGTTTGGCAGCCATACCATTTGCATATGTTGCATCGTTAATATTCCGTAAACCATCAACAGCATTCGGTATATTATGTCTGATTTCGGTCATTACCGGAATCGGTATGGGTGTTATAGCAACATTTTTTGAAACGATTCTTGAAGAAAAATTAAGTGCCGAAATTCGTGGCCTATTCTATGCTGGCATGTGGTTCACAAGACTTTCACCGGTTGTGGCATTGATTTTAGGACTACAAAAATTGTTTACATTAGATTCAACACGTTTGATTTGTGCACAATTTCAAGCATCATTACGTGCCATTCTTTGCGGTATTTATGCTGCATCTCAACGAACCAATCCGGAATTGGAAGAGTTGAAAATTCTTAAACCAGAACGTTGTTGTGATGGTAAATTGATTTGATTTTATTATTGTTTACTGTTTACATTTTAATGTATTTTTTTCCACTAAAATTTTTATAGAGGTCTGTGGTAATGAATGTATATTTCAACATCCATTTTTCTGGTTTAATTGGCTCGGTGTTAATGATGAAATTTTTATGCTCATTTTGGATGCCATTCTTTATTGGAGTTTATTAGCATTGTTGGATAACAAAAAGATTCGTGAATCTGTTTCAAAACGTTTCCGTAGCTTTTATCGTGGTACAAAAGATGTAATGAAAGTATCGAAAAGTTCAAAAACATTTAAATTGGAACGTATGGGTCATGGTACAGCGTTCACCGATAAAGATGTTTTAGAAGAACGTGCAAGAACTGAAAAAATTTTAGCAGCCAAAAAAATGGATCAAGAAGCATTATGTGTTCATAATCTAACAAAAATCTATTCCAATGGTAATTTCCGTGCTGTTGATCAGCTTAGTTTTGCCGTTAGTAAGGAACAATTTTTCGGCCTATTGGGCATAAATGGTGCCGGTAAAACGACCACTTTTCGTATGTTAACCGGTGATCTATCATTGACACGTGGTAATTCATGGGCTGGTGGTTTTGATCTATTTTCATCCACTCAAGAATATCAAGCACAAATTGGTTATTGTCCACAATTTGATGCATTACTCGATCGTCTTAATTCATTTGAAACATTACAATTGTATGGCCGATTACGTGGTATTCCAGATGATGCTATCAAATTAGAAGTGAATCGTTTGATTAAAAAAGTTGACCTGCAAGCACATGCTGCACGAATGTGTCGAAATTATTCCGGTGGTAATAAACGTAAATTATCATTGGCAATGGCATTGATCGGTGCACCACCAGTGGTATTGTTGGATGAACCAACATCCGGTGTAGATCCTGTTGCACGTCGTAAAATGTGGGTAGCCATTTCAGATATTCAATATGGTTCCGGTTGTAGTATCATTCTAACATCACATTCAATGGATGAATGTGAAGCATTATGTGATCGTATTGCCATTATGGCTGCCGGTCATTTTGAATGTATTGGTTCAACACAATATTTACGTACAAAATTCGGTCAAGGTTATTCATTAATCATCAAATTAAATCCAGATATTGTTGCTGAAAATGATCTTTATCTAGATCAGGTACAGGAATCTATTGAAGATCGTTTACCAAGTGCCGTATTACGGGATATTCATCAAACATTATTATTCTATCATATTCCACCGGAATCCGATGTTACTTGGGCATCATTATTTCGTGCTATGGAAGAGGCAAAATCAAATCTACAGCTAGAAGATTATCAAGTTGGTGATACAACATTGGAACAAATTTTCTTATCATTTGCAAAGAAACAACCACAAGAAAGGCCTAAACGTAAATCATTGGCTGATATTGCTGAAATGTTATAGTATCTATATATCTATATATATTAATTATTAATCTAATAATATTAATAATGATACAATCATCGAACACGTAAATCAATCATTCATTCATATATGTGTGTGTGTGTGTGTGTGGATTTATAATAATTGCCTCAAATCGAACGATTCTCTTATCATCATTTTGTCACTCATAATCATCACCATCATCATCATCATCAAAAAAATTTCATTTTTTTTTCTCTTCTTCTTCTATACACACAATGTTCATTTCAACTATATACAGCAATAATTTTCAAATTGTAAATCAAATTTATCACCAGAAGAAAAAAAAAATCATTTTTTTGGGCTAAGGAATCTACGTAATCACACACACACACACTCACACACAGATACACTATATTTTTGTGATCATGACAACGGTGATTGTGACAAACAAACAAACAAACAAAATTGACCTGGTCCAAATTCTTTTTTTGGGAAACGGAACATACACCCACACACACTTACATTAAATTGATTGATGATTTAGTTTTTTTTTATATATACGAAAAAGAAACAATGAATTTTTTTTTCGTCCTTTTCATTATTTAGATAGAATTTTTTTTTTCTTTTGTATTGGTCATTTTTTTTCTGTCCATTTTTTTCTTTATATAATACTTATTAATTCATTTTTATTATTATTTTCATATATGAAAAAAAAACTTTACTCAATAAATTTTAAACTGAAAAAAAAACAAAAATTTACAATATTCGAATGGTTAATTGGTTAATTGAATTTAGAAACAAAACAAAAAAAAATGAAATAAATGAAACGTGTTTTTCGATGATTGATGGTTTTTCTTGGACATTCCTCGCGATGATGCTGGTGATGATGATGATGATGGCTGATTCTGATTACGATTTTGTTGATGATCCAGATGAACCAATATATCCGGTTATACTTCCAAATATAATATTTATATTCATGCTTATATTCACCATACTATTTTTTATCATTGTATTGGCCACCATTCTTTATTGTCTATTTCGGCCTGGTACTGATGAAGATGAACGATTGAATTTGATGCTTAAAAATCAAAATCAACCACTTGGACAACAACCACAACCACAACAATCACCTATGCGTTTTTATCAATAAATTGATGTTATCGTATCGTATTCTTGATTGGAAAAAAAATTTCGAATATTTTTTTTGTTTTGTTATATTTTTCGCTTGCTCCATCTGTTGGTGATGATTTAAAACTGTAAAATCGAATACATTGTATCAATTAGTATCAATCAGTATTTTCATTGAAAAAAAAATAAAATAAAATTTCTCATAATAAACAAAAAAAAATCGAATTGACAAAATCAACGTTAAATTGATAAATTAGCGTCAATTTATTTTTGACGCTAAACTCAAAATTGTGCAATTCGAATAAAATAATTAAAAAAAAAAATCTTTACTAACTTGAATGGAAAAAAGTTGATTTCAAACAAATTCTTGGTGCACTTAGAAAAAAAAGTGGTGGAAATTTTTTTTTTGTTTTGTTTTGTTTTCATTTTCATTTTCCACCACACTTAATTCATCACATCGATCATTTATTGATTGAAAATCAATCATTTAGTTTAGATAGCCAAAACAAAAAAATGACATAGTTAGCATGCGCAGAAAAATTGAAATTTTTTTTTTACTCTATTGTGACTCATAATGCTCTGAAAGAGACAAAATAGCAAAAAAAAATCATCATAATAATAAAAGCTACAAACAGTGTGTATCTGTGGATATATACGTGTGGGCCTCATGGATTTCAGGCGTGTTGGCACGTCAAAAAAAAAAATGTGAGTGTTTGTGTGTGTGTGTGTGTAAAAATGAGTAAAATACACTTGTCTATGTGTGCGTGTGTGTGGTGTTTTGGTGTTTCGCTCTCTTTTTTCTTCGTTTATATTTTTCATTTACATTTTTTTTTGCTGTACGTGTTTTATGTGAAACGAATTAGCATAATTTTTTTTTCTTTTCTTAAATAATTGATTTATTATTTGCATCTGATTGTGAACGACAACGAGAGAAAACCCTCATCGATATATATATGTGATTGACGAAAAACGTTAACAACAAAAGACAGGTGTCGAACGTGTGTGTGATGTGTGTGTGTATGTGTGAATTCGAATTGAGCAATTTTTGATCGATATTTTTTTTTTTTGTTTGTTTGTAATGTGAAAAATTAATGGTTAAATTTTTCTTCTTAATTTTTTGTTGTTTTTTCATTCTTTATTCGTTGAATTTTTGAATATAAAAATCCCCACTTGAAAATTCAATTCATCGTCAATTGTCTTCAGTCGATTATTGGTAATTTTTTTTTCTTATTTTATTTGAAAAAAATTTCCTTTTACTCTTTTTTCTTTTCCCTTTTTTAGTTATTGTCTTTTATTGTTCACCACTGGAATAGAGTTGAAATCAAAAACGACAGTAATAATAATTTTTCGTCACATAATTCATCATCATTCACATCAAGTTTTGATTTGTCACATTTGAAAATTGAAATCGTTATTTATCCATATTTTGTGTGAAATTTTTTTTCCAAAATTCAAATATACAACAATTATAAATCAAAACGAAGCCGAAACTAGCAAAAAAACCTGAAAATATTGTCCATGGTGGCCGTGTGATTTATTGTGGTGTGTGTGTGTGTTTGATATATACTGAGTCCATGTGCTTGTTTTGACGTGTTTTGGGCCATTTTTTTCGTCGTTGTTGATTTAATCAATCGATAATTGATCAAATATCCTTTATCGACAACATTTTATTTCTTCATCTCGCTGAATGAATAGACGTCAAAGTAAAAAAAAATAGGTAAGTCGAAAATTAAATATTTAAAAATGTGACTTAATTACTGATGAATTCCTCATTGACATTTTTCATCCATATGTGATGGGGATATTGCATGTAATTTCATCATCATCAATTTTAATATCATGAATTTACATCCGCCATGTAGGTAATTAAACACGAGGAAAAATTCCAGGTAATTTGTTTGTTCTTTGTATTTGTGCTCAAATTCAAACTACAATTAGATAATAATTATCGATTCGTAATTAATAATAATTCAGATCATCATCATCATCATTATTCATATCGAATGTAATTCAATCGTAATAAAAAAAACAGTGAATGAAATGTGTGTGTGTTCACCAGAAACGCTGTCGTCAGCAAGGAAAAAGGCAACTTGTTTTTTTTTTTTTTTTTGCTCGGCAATTTCTCTTCATCATCATCATTAGATTCAAAGTTTTCTTTGACTTTTCCTCTTTTGATGATTATCAAAGAGAAGAAGGAAGAAGAATGTTGTGTGTGTAATTGAGAGAGAGAGATTGAATCAAATTGTGAATTGCATACATTTTTTTTGCTGATTTCAGAAAAATTAAAAGGAAATTTCTTATGATTAAAATAGATAGAGAGAGAGAGAAAGCTAATATTTGAACAAGTAATTCAAAGTCCATTACTGAAACATTATTATTATCATCGCCATCATCATCATTTGGCGAAAAAAAAGAAGTAGTAGTAGTAGTAGTCAAAAAGGAATGAAAAATCTCAACAGGTTGTTGAGATATACTTGTACACATTTAACATTTTTGTAGAAAATACCTGTGACACATGTTCATCCACTCGCACATTTCCATCATCATCATCATCATCATTTGATATTTTTTTTCCGCTGACCATTCACTCATTCATCTAATCTGATTGGATTTCTTTTCGATGTTGTTGTTTTTCATTTCATTCAGTTATTTTTTTTTTTTTAGTTGTAATCCGGTGTATGATGTTCAACAACAGCATGGCCACTGATTGAATGATAAAGTTTTTTTTTGTTTCTGTTTTTCCAATTCGTCTATAATTGATTGATTGACATCGATGACATTGATTTTTTTTTATCCATTGTCTATTTTTTTCTACAAATTTTAATTTGTAAGTTAATAAATGATGTTTTCTTTTTCTGCTTTATCATCATCACAACAAAACAATTTTTTCATTTTGGATCAATATTTTTCCAATCAAAAAAAAAAAATGTCAAAATTTACTGATCCTTTACATTGTTAATCTCTCTGAACAGCCGTGTATCCTCAACAATAACGATTTATCGTTATACGCGGATTATTACGTAGACACTATTGATTATTAACAAATTTATTTTATCTAATCATTCTGTACCTGAATGATGATGATTAGCACAATTTTATAACGGGTTTTCTTTCATTTTTTTCAAAAATAAATTTTCAATGTCGTAATTTGTTGTTTTTTTGAATTTTCATCTCGTTAATAAATTCATTTCAGTTCAGTTATGACCATTTTTTTTCTTGCTACAATGATGATTGATTTGTTTGTCATGTGTAAAATGCTATTTTTATCTTGTGTTTACGTGTACGGTGTGTGTGTGATGTTTACATGTGGAAAATTATCAAATTTTTTTTCTTCTTCTTTTTTCATCACTTTAGTATATGGCTTAATCACATTTGGCGCGAATATTGTTGAGTTGTTGTTGTTGTTGTTCTTAATTTGAAACAAAAACAAACAAAAAATATTACACACACGTGGGGTTACACACACACCTGTTTACTTTTTTTGCTCTGAATTATTTCCATTTGGAAATTAGATGATGACAGAAAGAAAAATTTTTCGTAAATTTAATTTTGGCAATTATTCTCTTTCATTTTTTCTAATTTTTTTTTGATTTATAAGAAAAAACCCAAAATTCCTTCTTGATGGACGTCAAAATCACAACTGTCGTCAACATATTTTCCATTCTATTTTCATGTTTAAATATTTGAACGCAATGCTTATGATGATGACGATGATTGGTATACAAAGACAATAATGATGAAAAAAAATGTCAATTTATTTTTTTCCCTTATTTTATTGGCAATCGTTTGGTTGAATTTTTGTTGTTGTTGTTGTCTGACAATTCAATTTTGTACTTGAAATTGATTTCTCGTTACAACAATGTATGTGTGTGTGTGTGTGTATTGGCCAAATAAAATAATTTCTGTTTCTCATCATCATCGTCATCCGTTTCGTAATGAAAATGAATATATAATTATAATTGTTAATAATATATATTGGTACCACTTCCATTATCATCACTTTATTTATGTATGTTCCAGTGCACATGTTGCTCAAAATTGTTAAAAAAACAATTTTTTTTGTTTTGTTTTCAATGTTTCATCATCTGATTTGCTAATTAAATTTACATAAACGCGAATTAAATATTGATTTTTTTCTTGCTTGTTTGCATGTAGTTGTATTGTGTAAAGGTGTGTATTTTTTTTTTAATTATTTAAATTAATTTATTATTATGTTTGCATTTTGTACTTTTAAATTTTTGCTAGTCATAATTTCTCTCATTGTGTGTGGTCTGATCATCATCATTATTATTAATGATTTAAATGAAAACAGTTTGATTGACTTTTTTGATGATAAAAAAAAAAATTTCTGTTAGTGAGTGAGAGGGATAAATGAATCCTATATCCTGATGTTGATGTTGATGTTGATGATGATGATGATGACGCCATTCTAAAAAAAACATCTCCAAAATGGCTGCAGAGAATATAGAGTTGCATCAATTCTCAAAAAAATGAATGTTTTTATTATGTTGATGATGATGAACAAATAAGTGATTTGATAACTCTCTCTCTCTCTCTCTCTCTGTGTATGCGTGTGTTTGGGGGCCGTAAGCAACAGAAAATTTCCTAATCTGCTGTGCACGTGCTGTTTTATGGTATCAAAAAAAAAAAAAAAAAAAAATAGAAATATTAAATATCATGAAATGAAATGACGTGTTATGTTATGATGATGATGATGTATTGAAATTGATATGTTTTTTCTCATTTATTCATTTGTTGTTTACAAGAAAAAATAATTTAAAACCAGAAAAATGTTTCCATTGAATTATAATTATACATCTTTTTCTATTGGTGCATTTATTGATTGTTTTTTTTATATATGTGCAAAAATTTCCCCATTTCCATTTGTCGATAATGATAAATTTCTCTATTCTATTCTTTTGTCTACTGCCGTACATATACTTGGAATCGTGTGATTTTTCTTTTCCATCTCTGACAACATAATCATTATAAACACTTTTATTATATTATTACTGGTGAATCGATAATGATTGATTTGGTGAAATATTAATAATAAAAAAAATGGTCTGATTTTATATCTGAAAACAAAATCAATGGCCACAATCCGCCTTTGTCGTTGTCATTGGAAATTGAATAATAATATAAACGCTTTATTATTATGACAACATTTTGTTCTGTTTCCCACCCTCTCTCTCTCTCTCTTTTCTTCCTCTCAACAACACTGTTATTTGCAAATTGCAAAGTCAGAAAAAAAATACAGTTGTCAATATAACCAATGTTGATGATGATGATTTCATTTCATTTTCTTACATTTTCTCGATAATAAAGTTACATGTCGATGATGATGATGATGGCCATGATTACTTAAAGTCAATCCTTTTTTATCATTTTTTTTCTCATTTTCATTTTTATAATAGAAAAATTTTTTTTCATTGACCATAAATCATCATCGTGTTGAAGACTGAAAACGAAACGAAAACGAAAAAACATAAATTTTTTTTTTTGAAAATTCAATTCACTTCAATTCAATTCATCATTAAATCAAAAAAATAAAAATGTCAGCAAAAGCTATACGTGAAGTGACCGGAAAAGATTTGCTTAATCGTTTTTTAAATTCAACGGCCATTACATCTCGTTTTGTTTCGGTTGATGACAATGCTAATCTAACTGATTTGGCTGTACAAAATGCTTGGCTTAAAACGGAGGTAAATTTCATTATCATTATTGTTCGATGCTTGAAATAATTTTTTTTTTTGTTTTGTTATTTTGATCATAGAAATTAGTGATCAAACCTGATCAATTAATAAAACGTCGTGGTAAACTTGGCCTGGTTAAAGTAGGCACCGATCTAAATGGTTGTAAAGAATTCCTAAATAAACATATGTGTAAAGATATTCAGGTTTGTTGATGTATGTTTATTTTTCGTCAAAAGTTTTAAAATTATTTTTTTTAAAATGAAAATTTGATTAGATTGGATCATCAGTTGGGAAACTACGAAATTTCATCATCGAACCATTCGTACCGCATACACCAGAAGAAGAAGCATATGTTTGCATCTATTCACATCGTACGGCTGATGTTATTCTTTTCTATCATCTTGGTGGTGTCGATATCGGTGATGTGGATGCTAAAGCATTGAAATATGAAATTCCAATTGATGCATCGATCGATGAAAAAGAAGTTTATGATAAATTATTGATAAATTTACCATTGGAAAAACGAGAATTGGTTACAAAATTTATTGTCGATCTATATCGTGTATATGTTCAATTATATTTTACTTATTTGGAAATTAATCCATTAGGTTTGTCTGTTTATTTATTTTGTGTTTTTGGATGTTGATTTTAATTTGAAATTTTTTTTCTCAATATTCCAGTGATCACTAAGGATTCCATTTATATACTTGATTTAGCGGCCAAAGTTGATGCAACGGCTGAATATCTTTGTAAACAAAAATGGGGTGAAATTAGTTTTCCACCACCATTTGGACGTGATGCATTTCCTGAAGAAGCTTATATTGCTGATCTTGATTCTAAATCCGGTGCCAGTTTAAAATTGACTATATTGAATAAAAAAGGTCGTATTTGGACGATGGTTGCCGGTGGTGGTGCTTCCGTCATTTATGCCGATACTATTTGTGAAATTGGTGGTGCATCAGAATTGGCCAATTATGGTGAATATTCGGGCGCACCATCCGAACAACAAACATATGAATATGCAAAGACAATTCTATCATTGATGACCAAAGAACGACATCCAGAAGGCAAAATATTGCTTATTGGTGGTGGTATTGCAAATTTCACAAATGTTGCTGCCACATTCAAAGGAATTGTGAAAGCATTGAGAGAATTTCAAACAAAATTAATCGAACATAATGTATCGATCTTTGTACGTCGTGCTGGCCCCAACTATCAAGAAGGTTTACGTGTGATGCGTGAAACCGGTAACACATTGGGTGTACCTGTCCATGTTTTCGGTCCAGAAACACATATGACAGCCATTGTAGCAATGGCATTGAAACGAAAAGAAATTCCAAAACTGCCTGAAACTAAATTGACAACAGCAAATTTTCTGCTACCAAGCCATATGGGTGCCGATGCTTTTTCACCCGGTTTCAATGGTGGTATGACATCACCACCAATTAATAATAGTAATTTTTCACCTGCTTTCTCACCATCAATAACATCACAAGCGGCAAAATTTACTCGTCCATTATTTACATCTCGAACACGTGCAATTGTTTGGGGAATGCAAAGCCGTGCCGTACAATCGATGCTTGATTTTGATTTTGCCTGTTCACGTAAAGAATGGTCAGTAGTAGCAATGATTTATCCATTTTCCGGTGATCATAGACAGAAATTCTATTGGGGCCATAAAGAAATTCTTATTCCAGTCTATAAGAATATGTCCGATGCCATGAATAAACATCCACAGGCGGATGTATTGATTAGTTTTGCATCATTACGTTCAGCATATGATTCAACATTGGAAACATTGGAATATCCACAAATTCGTACCATAGCTATTATTGCTGAAGGAATACCCGAAAATCTTACACGTAAAATGATTAAACTGGCTCGATCAAAAGGTGTTACGGTGATTGGACCGGCCACTGTTGGCGGTATTAAACCAGGTTGTTTTAAGATTGGAAACACCGGTGGTATGATGGATAATTTATTGAGCTCAAAACTCCATAGACCCGGTTCAGTTGCCTATGTTTCAAGATCGGGTGGAATGTCAAATGAATTGAATAACATTATTTCACGATCAACGAATGGTGTTTATGAAGGTGTTGCCATTGGTGGTGATCGTTATCCTGGTACAACATTTTTGGATCATCTATTACGTTATGAAGCTGATCCAGAAGTCAAAATGATGGTATTACTTGGTGAAGTTGGTGGTGTCGAAGAATATGATGTTTGTGATGCAATGAAAGATCGTAGAATTTCAAAACCATTAATTGCATGGTGTATTGGAACCTGTGCCAGTATGTTTAATTCCGAAGTACAATTTGGACATGCCGGTGCCTGTGCTAATTCGGATCGTGAAACAGCGTTGGCTAAGAATAAAGCATTACGTGAACATGGTGCACATGTACCGAATACATTCGATGAACTTGGTAATGTTATTAATCAGGTTTATCAACAGCTGGTTGAAGCACAGATTATCATTCCTAAGGAAGAAGTTGCACCGCCAACGGTACCAATGGATTATGATTGGGCACGTGAATTAGGTATCATTCGTAAACCGGCTTCATTTATGACAACCATTTGTGATGAACGTGGTAATGAATTAACATATGCTGGTATACCGATTACACGTGTAATCAAAGAAGAATTAGGTATTGGCGGTACATTATCATTGTTATGGTTTCAACGTCGTTTGCCTACTTATGCAACGAAATTCTTTGAAATGGTCCTTATGGTAACAGCTGATCATGGACCAGCCGTTTCTGGTGCACATAATACAATTGTTTGTGCTCGTGCTGGTAAAGATCTGGTTTCATCACTGGTTTCTGGTTTATTAACTATTGGTGAAAGATTTGGTGGTGCATTGGATGGTGCTGCACGACAATTTAGTCAAGCATATGATTCCGGTACGATTCCAATGGAATTTGTAAATCAAATGCGTAAAAAAGGTGAACTCATTATGGGCATTGGTCATCGAGTCAAATCAATTAATAATCCTGATATGAGAGTAAAATTAATGAAAGATTATGTTAAACAAACATTTCCATCTACACCGGTGTTAGATTATGCACTTGAAGTGGAAAAAGTGACTACATCAAAGGTATGTCTTGAATTTTAACTATGATAATTAAATTAGTTTACTTTAAAATTTACATTTGATATAACAGAAACCTAACCTAATTCTAAATGTTGATGGTATTGTTGCTGTATCGGTTGTTGATCTTCTCCGTAACAGTGGATGCTTTACACGTGAAGAAGCACAAGAATATCTTGATATTGGTGTATTGAATGGACTATTTGTTCTTGGACGAACCATTGGATTTATCGGTATTTTGTTTGATTGATTTGTTCATTTTTTTTATTGATTTCATTTTCTTTTTCAATCAAAATTTTAGGACATTATTTGGATCAAAAACGATTGAAACAAGGATTATATCGTCATCCATGGGATGATATTTCGTATATTTTGCCCGAACAAAGTAGTAGTAGCAGTTCAATTCAATGATAAACAAACAAATAAATTATTCCTCAACATATTTCACAATGATATTATCCGATTCATTCATTAATCATTGACCTGAATTCGATTAGTCAAATTCATCATCATTTGTGTTTTTTTGTGTGTGTATGTGTGTTTCTCTCTATCTTTTCAACATTATAAACGTATATTTTCCAAAACCACATTGTTTCAACCACTTTCATCATTACATCACAACAACAACAACAACAAAAAATTAGTAATCGACGGGTCGTGTTTTTGAAAAAAAAGAAATTTTAAAATAAAAAAAAAATCTTCACTCTCATTCACTTTATTATTCTGGCTATTCAATTTTAGTTTTTTTCTCATTATTATTTTTGTTATTAATTAATTAATTGATTGAATTTTTTTTTCTTTTTTTTTTTGATGATTGTCCAATTTATTTGTATGTGTTAATTTATTCTCAAATATCATGATGATGATGATGATCTGAACTGATTATTTTAATGGCCGAATTTTTCCAAATAATTTATCCTATCCATAGATCTTGATAAACATGGACAACACACACGTAAAACATAAACACGAAAAAAAAATTTTTTTAATTTATTCCATGTTGTAATCGTGCACTAACAAAAAAAAAAAAACAAAACACGTGACCTAAAATATTGATTTTGACTATAGAAGAATTTTTTTTTTTTGTGTGTGTATAGCTTAATTATAATTATTAATTATTATTAATTCAAAGTTTCATTTCAAAGACAAATTGGTTGTTGTTTTTTCTCTCACTAAATGTGTAGGATTTCATTAGCATTTTATATATACAAGTATAAAATCAATTATTATTACATTTACACCATCGAATTAGATTGCAAATGCATTTTCATCATCATCATCATCATCATCATCATCATCGTAATCATCGTCGTTGTCGTCGTCGTCATTTCAATATATATAACAATTTAATGGTTGTGACTATAAATGTGTCTTATCACAACAGCAACAAACAATGGCAAAAAAAAATATTACCTGAAATCGATAGTGAAATGTTTTGTTTTTTTTCCCCACTAAAATTATTAATTGATTGAATTGAATTGAATTGAATAAATAATGATTATTTTCGAAATGGAATATTCCATTGAATTTGATGTTGTGAATTTTATTCATTTTTTTCATAATTTTATATACATTTACTGGAACAAAAATTTTATACAAAAAAAGTTTTTCAATGAGAAATTTATTATAAATTTTTACAATGATTATTTTCATTTTGAATTTTCATTATTGGTCTTCATCGTTGTCGAATTTGTCGTTGTTGTTGTTGTTGTTGTTGATCGTCCTAAACCAAATGGTGCAATATTTGCTACCGATGGAATTATGGTATCACGACCACCACCATTCATTGTGTTCATTTTATGGCCGCTGGTAAAGGACTTCGTAATGCTTGTCCATGTGATGGATGTATTGGACGAAAAAATTGATGATGATGATGATGATGTTGATGACCAATCGATGATGTGGGTGGCAGTGATGAGGGTGATGGCTTTATGGGTGATGATGATGATATCGAAGTTGCCATTTTCAATGATGATAATGATAAGGATGATGATGATGGTTGTATATCATTCGATAATGTTTTAGTTGATTTATTATTCACTGTTGTTGCAAAGGCATTGTTGTTCAATGTTGTTGATGGTTTTGATCATTATTCAGTGATGCTGCTGGTATCGATTCAATCGACTGTTGTGGCTGCTGTTGTGGCTGCTGCTGTAATTGATTAGAATTCCAAGTCATATCATTTTTACATCGTGCTTTTGTTGACTGTCGTTTATTACAGAACCATACTCGCACAACATCACGATCATAATTTAATATTTCCGATATTCTAGTCATTTCTTCACCATTTGGATGATTATTTTGTTCAAAAAATTTATTCAATGCATCAATGGCGGTTGGCGTAAACGATGTACGACGTTTACGTTTTTTATTTGTTTCCATAAATGCTTTATAAATATTTACATTTGATGATATCATTGCCGATGATGATGATGGTGATGGTGATTGTGATGGTTCACTGTTATTATTAACCATCATACTACCACCAACTCTTTGATCATGATGATTAACAACATTTTGATTGTTGTTATTGTTGTTGCTGTTGTTGATATTATTATATTGTTGGTAAAGTTGAAAATTTTTCCCATAATTACCACCATTATTCACCAATTCTAATGCTGAACTAATCTTAAACGATGATGATGATAATGTCGATGTTGTTGTTGACGATGCATTTGGATCTTTATTATCTTTATTATTATTATTATTATTCAATACATTAACCAATGCTTCTGGTTTTACATTTCCAACAATTTTATTATGACGATATTTTTCTTCCGCCTCACGCATCCAATTTTCCAATACTGGTTTTATTTTTTTAGCACTTTTTAATGTGATGTCCAATTTTTCAAATCTGAGAATTGAATTTAAAAAAAAATTGAATTTGAATTACACATGAAAAAAAAATTAAATTCATTTCCAAAATACCTGCATATTGCACTTTGACTATAACATGGACCTAATGCACTCAATTCTTGTCCAACTTGTGATTGTGTTAGGCCCAATGATAGACGACAAAGTTTAAATGTTTTAGCAAATTCCTGTATTTCATTGGCCAATTGTTGTTCTTCTGGGGTCCAAATGGCTCTTTCTGTTTTTTTTAAAGTTGAATTTAAATTTAAATTTAATTTTTCAAAAAAACATTTATAATTTTACCTTTTGATGATATCAACGGTGGATTCGTCGATGATGATGGTGTTGTCGATAAAAAGATTCTGTAGTCGTATCAATCAGGCTACTATTATTTGAATGAATAGAACATGGTGATGATGGTGTTGTTGTCGTCGTCGTTAATGATGTTTGTGTTTGCATGGATATCCGATTATTATTAACATTATCATCATGATTGTTTGATGATAATTGTTTTGTATTACCAATATTCTGGATATTTATATTGGATATTTCATCATTCGTTATTGATGATTCAATCGATGCTATAGTAACATTATCATCATCATCATTATTACTACTCATTAATATACGATTATTAATCAGATTATATGCAGCTTGTGTAAGACCATTACGTCGTATCAGTTTAATTTCACCACCACCAACAACATCACCATCATTCATATCGATCAATTTACCATCAACATTCGTATTCATGACATCATCATCATCATCATCTTCTTCATCTTCGGTATCGGTAAAATGACATGGCAATGAACCACCACTTTGATATCCATCTTTATCATCATTCATATTTTTAATGGGATTATTATTATTGTTCATCATCAATGATTCTGATCGTATTCCATTGATGGTGGCAGTAGTGTTGGTGGACATAGTATTAGTCGTCTTCATCGTAGATATTGTTATCGGTAATGTTGTCGTTGTTGGCAGTATTGTTGTAGTAGTATCCGATTCTTGCCGGTTATTATTATTATTAGTTTTATGACTACAACAATCACTATCGATTTCGGTTGTAGCACTATCCAGATCCATTTCTTCCGTTTCATCTGTACTATTATCATCATTATCATCATCATCGTCATCGTCATCATCATTTATTAAACTATCCATTGATCTAGCTCGTTTTCGGTTTATTTTCACATCATCTTTTTTCTCATTCATGTTCCGTGTTTTATTATAACAATTTTCATCATTACCGGCATCATATTCTTCTTCATCCTCCCCATCATCATCATCATCCTCTCCATCATCTTCATCATCATCATCATCATCATCATCATTATCGGCTATTTTCAATGAACCACATGATGATGAAGCAGCCGATGATGGTCTTTGAATAATGGTTGATGATGTTTGACTCGGTGATGTTGCTAACGATGTTTCTAACGATGGTGTAGGTGGTGATAATGATAATGATGTAGTTGTTGTGGTAGATGATGATGTTAATCCATTCAAATTTTCATCACCACCATTATTAACAATATCACCAATTTCATTATCATCTTTTTCGATAATAATTTTCTGGTCATTCACCGTAAAACTATTTTGACTATTTTCTTCAGAAGATGGCGTATTTTGATCATGATCATCATTGACTATTGAATCTCTTTTCATGTTGTTATGTTCGGCATTTGTAGACGATAATTTGGGCGTAATTATCGTCGTCATCGTTGCCGTTGTCGTGGTTGTTGTTGTTGTTGTTTTGGTTGCCGCCGCCGCCGTCGAATTCATAATGAGATTGAAATTTTCTCTAGTACTACATGCCTTTGATAATTCGAATCCAGTTTGACCTGTAGTTATTGTTGAATTCGTTGATGATGATTGGCATCCATTCGTTGCTGTTGTTGATGTTGGACATTCTAAATAACTTTTTTTGTTGATTGACTTGATCGATGTTGGCTTGATGAGATTGTCAAACATCAACATTGGCGATTGTTGTTGTTGTTGTACAATGCCGGTATCACATGTAATATTTGTGGCTGATGATGGTGCGGCAGCAGAAGATGTAAAAACCATCATTGCCGTAGTTGATGTCGATGGTGAATTGATGTTATTGTTGTTGTTGCTTGTATGAATATTATTAACAGCATTCTGTACGGGTAAATGATGTAATTGCGTATTGTTGTTGTTGTTGTTATTCGTAATATTGACCATCGAAGATGATGGTTGATGATTATGATGATGACCAACAACACTATTTATAGATGATGTCGTGTTATTCGTTTGTTGTTGCGATGATGAAAGATTCGTAATATTTGTCGTTGGTGATGCTGAAGCTATCAATGTTATCGTATTTGAATTTTGTTGAGTATTGAGGTAATTATTATTCGTGTTTCCAGTACCGGTAGATAAACATGGCTGTATTGTTAATTGATTTGTTGTGAATACATTTGATGATTGTTGCTGTTGTTGTTGTGGTGATTGTTGATGAATAATGGCAGAACCTATTGGTAATGTTGAAGTTTGTTGCTGTTGTGTTAAGAATGTTGCCGTATTTTGTTGCTGTTGACCAATTGGAAATTGGAGATTGCCACCGGTGGTTGTTAATAATGTTCCATGTTGCTGTTGTTGTTGTTGTATAGGCACCGTTATTGCAGTCGGTTGTTGTTGATGTTGAGTTCCGGTTGTTATTAATTGATGTCCCGATGTTGTTGTTATCATATTTGTTGGCTGTAACATTGTTGATTGTAATATTTGATGACCATTTACAGGTAAAACTAATTGATACAATTGTTGCTGCTGCTGTTGTTGTTGTTGCTGTTGTTGAAGTGTGGGCGTTATTGTTGTTGGATTCAGAAAAAATTGTTGCTGTTGCGGTTGAACTAGCTGATTCGTTGTTGATGGTATACAACCAATCAATTGATTTGTTTGAAATGTTATTGCACCATTTGTCAATGTTGGTTGCGTTGCTAATGTAGATGGTGTTGTTATCACTTGAAATTGTTGTTGCGGTTGTTGTTGATGGAACAATTGCGTTGCAGTAGTATTAACATTGTTGGTCGCAGAAGAAGCAGCGTTTGCAGTCGTTTGTATATGAAACGTACCCGTTTGTGTTGGTTGTTGTTGTTGTTGAATAAATGTTGTTGGCTGTAATGCTGATGTCGTGGAACATCCATTAGTTGCTATTAATTGTGGTTGCAATATTGTCGCCGTCGTTGTTCCCTGTAATGTTTGATGATTGATTGGAATCATATTTATTTGATGAGCAGGCGTAGATGGCGTAATCAAATTGGACATTAAACCTAAGTGGTTAATGGAAACAGACGAACAAAAAAAACGAATCATCGTCATCATCAATAATTTGGTAGTAAACCAAAAAAAAAACCAAAAAAATGAAAATCTCTCAAGATTCTCAATGAATAAATGTGGCTTTTTTTTCACTTACCACCAAATGGCTGTGATATTTGCTGATTAGATTGTTGTTGTTGTTGTTGTTGTTGTTGTTGTGGTGTGATTATATATTGAATTGTTGCTGGATGATTATTCATATTTGTTGCCGGTAAAAATCCTTGTGTTGTTGTCGATGCTATTTGTTTGTCCATTGGTGGTTAACATAATATTTGGTGAAAATGTTGTTGCCGGTTGTATTGTGAACAATTGTTGTTGTTCAATTGAAGAAGCAGCAGCAGCAGCAGCAGCAGCATTGGTAGCCAAACCGGTAGCTGTTTGTTGATTAATAGAACCAGAATGTTGTTGTTGATTATTGGTAGTTTGAAATGTAAAATATTGTGGTTGATTGATCGTAGTGTTTGCCAATGATGCAGCATGATGTTGTTGTTGTTGTTGATTATTTGCTACTGCTGCTGCCTGCTGCTGATGCTGCATTATTACCATTCAACATTACAGTTAATTGATTCATGATGATGATGATGATGATACTTCAAAGCTTTATATCGACAGTCGTTGTCGACAAAAAAAAAACAAATATATTCGTATGTCCCAAGTGTGATTAGGCGTGCAAAGAAAAAAAGAACTCAAATCAAGTGACACACACAAAACTGAACATATTGACGGTGGAAACTATAATAATAATTTAATTTTGAAAAAAAAGAAGAAAAAAGAAATGAAAGAAAAAATTTCATTAATAATCGAGTGATAATTGTGGATGTTGAAAAACAACAACAAAAAAATGGTCATCATCATCATCATCGTGGTTGATAATTTTTCTGAATGAAGATTTGTTTTAGTCAAAGACGTTTCGTTGTTTGTTATTTTATGGTAAGTTTTTTCTTTTCTTGGTTCTCAGAAAAATGTCAAAATCATCACCATAAAGGTCAAAAATCGAGGGTCATATTTCAACATTACTTTGGGTGACAACTAGAAAAAAAAAAAAAATTCACCAATCACTGGAATGACGATTTGAATTTCATCAATGATTGAAAAAATAAATCATCAAGATAAGATGAACACACACACACACACACACGCGAAGATCAATCAGAAATAAGATCAAGAAAGCAAAAAGAAAAACACCAGATCCAGCTACACAAACGACGATGATGATGGTGACAATGATGAAATTCTCGTAGTTTTCTGAATGAACAAAACATCACAGAAATTCGAGGACAAAAATGATGGAAAAAAAAAATTTTTCACACAAATAAAAACGATGAGAAAAAATTCACGATGTTTGATTCTGACTGATTTATGAATCACTTACATACATATAGCAACAAATTAGTAATTAGAATGACAAATTCAATACTAATTTGTCTGATTCATGCCTTTTTTTTATTGGCAAAATGTCCAGCAACAACAACAACAAAAAAAATTTTGACCATTCACGATGACAATTCACAAAACACAACACACTAATAATGGATAAGAATGAAAACAAAAAAAAAAAAAAAATTTACCTTGATAATGAATCGATAGAAGTGAAATCAAATCATTTTTTTTCTACGTTTCTTGAAAATAATTTCCTGTGATGGCCAAAATCAAAATGGTTCGAAATGGATCAACAAATTGCACCCAAAAAAAAAAAAAAAAAAATATACTTGACACAAGGAATATATAAATTAATGGGAAACAACCGAACTGGAATACGCGCTGAATTTTGTTTTCAAAAAAAAAAAAAAAATGTTTATGACACACAAAACAAAACATTAAACACATGACCACACTGAATGAATGCAAGATCGCGACTGATTCTAGTTTGTTTCGTGTGTATAAAATTATATGCAGCTGTTTTTTTTTCATGTGCTGTTTTAGTGCATATAAAATATCAACGATGATGATGATGAGAGTGGGATCCTCGTCGTTGTCGTCGTCGTCTACCACGATTTCTCTGGATCTTTTTTTTTCTCCACATTGAAAGAACGGAAAATTTTTTTTTTTTGGCATTTTTTCACTTATCATATGGTAGTGGTAAAATCCGAAACCTAACCCAAAATTTGAAAAAAAATCAACCAACAAGCAAGCAAACAAACCAGCCAGCCAGCCAGCCAGCTAGCAAATTCAAGTCAAATCAGCTCCATTATCATCCATTCAGCCATCCAATTCAATTCAATTCATAAGTGAATCGAGAAAACATATAAAACACAACCATCATTAGAATTTTTCTTATATATAATACACACACACACACACACCACACCATAACAAACACTGCATCCTCCCAACAACAATAGTGCAAAAAGAGAAAAAACCATCATCCATTGCCAAAAGAAAATTAGAAATTATATAACATTATTATTATTATTACACATTCGAAAGCCAATGATTCTATGGCTGCACGAAAATGTGTTATTATTTATCAGAAGAAGAAGAAGAAGAAGAAGAGACGAAAAATACCAACTACTACAACAACAACAACAACAACAACAATACATAACTCATTCAATTTCAAATATTGTATAAAGATTGTGCGTGTGTGTGCCTGAATGGATGGATGGATGGATGGATAGTAAAGAAAACAGGAATATAATGTGGATTCGACAATATATAACTACGGGAAAATGAGAGAGAAAAGAAAAGAAAATTCATGCCATCAACATCAAAGCTAAGCCTGTACAAAATAGTAACCATGAACAATGTGTATATGTTTGAACCAAAAAAAAAACTTTGAAAAACCAGAATTTTGTTTTCATCATTACACACACACACACACACACAGAGAAAGAGAATTATTATATATCAAATGCGTGTGTGTGTGTTCGTTGACCGAAAAACATTCGGTTCAGTTTCGTCTATATGAGGTATTGGTGGATTTTTGTTTTCAAACATTCCGATACAGAATTGGAATTGAAATTATGAAGATAAAAAAAACAAAACAAAAACAAAAATAATTACATTATGAGAATTTCAACGAAATTTCATTTTTTAGTTATGAAAAATTTATATATCAAAATGAATCATATTATGTCCAGTGTGTAAGAATAAACCTGAAACAATTTTTTTTTTTTTTTTTTGCTGGATCCAAATGTATTCCCGATGTTGGAACATTCTCCCGCCGCTGTTGTTGCCACTACTATTTATTATTTTTTTTCATTCATTCGTTCTATTGATCTATATAATAATAAACACTGACTGGTGGATAGAACATGGCGCCCAGAAATTTTTTCTGATTTCTTTGCTTGCTTACTTGCTTATCATCATTATAAAAACAGGCAACGTAATTTGCCTCCAAAAAATTTTTTTTTCTCAATTCAAATTCATTATTTAGTATTTGGGTTGATTGGTTGGTTGGTTGGTTGGCGTTCCGAATCATTCCGGTGTGTGTGTGTGTGGTTCGGTTCATTCACATTTTCAAATTTTTGCTGCTGCTGCTGCTGATGATGATGATGATGATGATGATGATTACAGTTCAACCAGAAAAATGAATCCAACAATTTTTGTTGTAGTAGTAGTATTTGTAGTATTCGTTTGTTTTAATGCTATGTCTCTCACCAATGTTTAGGCTGATTTTTTTTTCTCATTTTTACCATTTTTCCATTCTGTTAGTAGTTTAGTTAGTTGCTTGTGTTGGAATGTCCATCCTCTTAAAATCCATATATACATAATTGTCGACGGAGGCGTTCGGAGGTGTGACGTTTTTTTTACATTTTTTTTTATTTATTTTTTTTTTTTTAGTTTAGTTTATGATTTATGATGATGATGATGATGATGGTGATGATAATGATAATCACACGGATATTATTGCTGCATGTGTGTCTGAGTAGTGTGAGTGTGATGATCAATGATCAATGATAAAAAAAAATTCCATTTGTACTACATTAGAAATATTGGGAGTCGACTCGAATAATAAACAATCGATGATGATAACAATCATCATCACGATTATTCGATAATTTTAGCATTACAGAATATCGATCTAATAATAATTTTTTGTTTGATTCTGCGCATCAAACAGAAACAGAATCAGGAAAAAAAATGAAAGAATCATATAATTAGAAAAATTTATAATCATTGATTATAGCATCAAAGCTGGTCATCATCATTAATTTTACAATTCGGATTTTTTTTTCATGCAAGCCAAGCCCTTTTTTTGTCGTAAAATAAAATATGCACACACACACACACACACACACACATGCACACCATCATAATAATTATTACTGATTCAAATGCTTGATCAATTCGTTTTTTTTATTCGGTTAGAAAACGAAATCAGTGGTAAAAAAAAATGAACAGGTAAATTTCATCTGTGACACTTTTTTTTATGTGTCATGATGATGATGATGATAATGATGATGGTGAGGTCACAATAATTTATGCGACAGAAAAAAAACCACCACTGTGTTGAATTCATATTCGGTGGTTGTGGTGTTTTACACAAGAAAAAATGCAAATGATCATTGCATTGTTAGCCATAGTAATTCCACTCACACATATTTACCTGTATGAAAATGAATGATAATGATAATCAACCGCAACGAATTTTTCATTGTTGAAAATATGAAAAAAAAATAAAATTTACAACCAGGTAACCATTGGTTACACACACATATATATATATACGTGGACGAAAAAAAGAAAAAAAAAAAAATTATTGAAAAAAATGGACAATAATTTCAAAACACAGGGAAAAGATACAAAAAAAAATAACATAACAACAAGATTTATGATTTCTAATACAATTCTCATTATCATCATTCTACGAGTGAGTTTCATATTTTTCATTTTTCCCTATATAAATAAATAGATATAAATTATGTTTTTGACTTGTACAAAAAAACGCACACACACACACACGGAGAGAAAACAAAATAATCATCAAAAGAGAGAGAGAGAGAAAAAAATACTGACCATTTTTTTTCATGAGACCGTCCTTCTTGTACATTTTGATGATAATTATCATCATCATCATCATCATCATCATCATGATCATTATGTCGCCCAATACGATAAAGACGAGGAAAAGCAGAACATCATAAGAAGCAAAATTTTTTTTTTTGCGATTTTGAAGGTAGTAAAAATGTCTTTTTTTTGTCTTGGTCTTAATTTTATCATCATCAAAAGAATGAAAAAAAAAAACATCAGGGTTCATCATTATCATTATTATTGAATGAAGATTCTTTTCACATATAAATGAACAAAACGTTCAAAGTCCATCATCATCATCAACATTCGTAGACTGAACATATAACAACAACAACAACAACAACCGGTAATTATGCGAGCACCAATCGATTATTATTATTATTTTTTTCTTCCTTAGTCTCGTTGTTGTTGTTGTTGTTGTTTTTTCATGTTTTTGTTGTTGTTTGTAGTCGTCGTCGTCGTCGTCGTCATTATTATCATCATCGTCATTATCAATCCAGAGGGATGAGAGAATAAGACCGTGTGTCAAGATTTCGTTTTCTTTTTTGTTTTCAAATGATGAAACACTGCTATAGAGATGATGATGATCATCAACGTTCGTAGCCCGTAGAAGTCGTTAGTCAAGCAAGTTTGATTTTGTAGGAAAACAAAAATTTTTTTCTTCGTTCATCATTCTTGTTTGATGATGATGATGATGATGATGATAATGAAATTTATCATTTTCCTTCATTTGAATTGAATGAATCATTTTTTGAAGTCGAATTCGAATTGATAAATTGAATTACATTAATATTTCTCTCTTATAAATATGACAATGTTGCATTCATATACACACACAGACTGATTGGCTGAAGATTTGAAAGCTGATATTTGGATGGATAGATGAAAAAAAGTCCATGAATACAATGAATAAATGAATCGATTGATTTGCAATGTATAATAGCAAAAGTAATAACAATAATCGAAATACAATGAAGAGAAAAAAAAATCAATCCAATCGATATTTGGGAGACGATTGATTGTCTATATGGCCGATGATGATGATGATGATGATGATAATACCTTTGATGCGATGTTTGATCGTTGAGCAGCAGCAGAAGAAGAAGAAAAAAATTCACAATTTCGAAAATGAAATTGATATTTTTTTCTTTTGATTCTCAATAGGCACCCAGCAGTTTTTTTTTCTTCTTTTGATTGTGGTTCGGTAATTTGATTTCATTCATCATCATCATCATCATCATCTGGTATTTGATTTGGAAATGGAATTTTTTTCCACATCATGATGATGATGATCATCATAACGACATCAACACGAATTTGCAAATCTACTGGTTTGTTTACATTTTATTCACTCTATACTAAAATTGCCACAATCAAATCAAATGATGAACAAAATTCATATACACAAAACCAGACAGATCAGGTCAAAATAGGAATCAAATCGAATCGAATGATGATGATGATGAACCATGTGTTTATACATGTATCATTCGTAATTATTATATTTGGCTACTGATAATGATTATGATGATGATGATGATGAGGAAAAAAAACGTCATTTTGTCATGTCTCAATCATCATCAACGAAATAATCATTGGAAATTATGTGTTTCTATGTGTGTGTTGTGTGTACGCGTAGATAGGATCGACCGGATGAACAAACGAACATGCAAAATAAAAATCAAAGTAAAAAAAACATTTTTTTTACAAAATTTCATCATGATGATAATAATGATTATCTATAGAAGCCACCACCGCCACCACCACCAATGTTGATGATGATGATGATCTTTTGAACAACCTTTGAATATGTTGGTTAATCTTTTTTTGTTTTTTTGTCTCTCTGTCTTTGTGATTGATTGTGATGGTGGTTAGATTTTGTTTTGTTTCACCACATGAAAACAAAGCCGGAATCATTATTATTATTTGACACAATTATCCTCATCATCATGTGAACAAAAGGTGTGCATAAATTTGATGATGATGATGACCTTAAGTTCATAGTGTATTTTTGATCATCATCATCATTTGCCATCACAAAGGTTTGCGTGTTTTTGTTTTGTTTCAGATTCAACATGATGATAATAATTCTTCATTATTATATATTTTCAGGAATCATTTGTTCGTCGTTTTTGGAACAAAAACAAAACAAAAATAAAACACGAGAGAAAATTCATCCGACCGAAAAAAAAATGAATGAATGAATGAAAATGAAAACAGCACGAATTTATGAATAGAATATATGCCATCATTATAAATTATTATCTCAGCACAAAGACCAACATCAGGAATAATCATCCACCATCATTATAACTAATTATTATTATCATCATCATCATTTATTCACTACCACCACCACCACCAACAACAACAACAAAAGCTTTGGCTTTAAATGTTTCATAATCAAGCTATTCATTCATCATACAACACAACGAATAAATCCACATTATTCTGTTCAAAAAATCAGATATGGTCCTATATATAAATATGATAATAATAAACGTATGTATGACTGATATTTTTATACCTGAGAGTTAATCATGTTGCTTCTGTTGATCATCATCATCATCATAATAATGATGATGATGATTTCCAAATAATTTTTCTAATCAAAAAATAATTCAATTGCATTTTGATTGACTGATTGATCACACAGAGATTGATTGGTTTGATCTGTTTTCCTTTTTCTATTTTTTTTTTTTTTCTTTGAATGCTTTCAGATTGTAATGATTTTCATGACAATCTTTGTTTTGTACATTACAATCTCGTTCTCTCTTTTTTTTTTTTTTTTTTTTTGACAATTCGTTAATATCACCATTATCATTCGCGATTTTTTTCCATTTTCTTATCACTAAATTAATGTTTTTTTTTCTTGAATTCAGCGTGTGTTTCCTTTTTTCATTGTATAGTTGATGGTTGTACAATATAAATGTGTGTGGTAAATCATTATCATTATCATCATTATTACCTAGCCAAAAAAAGAAGAAGAAGAAGAAAAAGTCTCATACCTGTCCTGTCACATGTACCCTACCCTATTCAATTGTGTGCTACTGTGTGTATGTGTGTGTGTGTTAACCAATAATAATGATTTGTTTGATCGGAAATTATCGTTTGTATTTTTTTTTTCGTATTGTCGTGTACCACGAAAATTGGCTGTTTGCCATTTGTCAAGGCCAAGGTTTTCCATTTATATGATGATGATGAACATATATTACACTTTACCGTATTTTTTCCATCATTTTCTTTTGATGCAAAAGAAAAAATTTTTTTTATATGACCACACACACACACACACACTGATAGACATTATTTATCGTTGAAATATAAATTACCGAAATATATTTATTTGTCCAATGATGATGAAAAACACGTGCCATAATAATTGAAGAAATGGATTCGTTTTTTTCTGTTGTTTCTGTTATCATCTGTTTGTGTGAAAATAGTGTTTTAAAAAAAAACATCCCCAAATCAACCAACCAACCGATCGACCAAACGACCGACAAAAATTGACAATCAACAACAAACAACAACAACAACAACAACGACTCCTCCCCATCATGAATGAATTCGATCAAACAAAACGAAAATTGTAAAATTAGAAAATTAAACTATTATTTTTTTGTTGTTGTTGTTTTATTCGGGCGGTCGGTTTGTTTTTTTTTTTTTTTTTGGTTAAAATTATTATTACGACCGAAATGAGAAACAAAAAAACAATCAAATCGATCGATCGATTTGATGAGTTTCGGACAGTGAAAGGTAAAATACACACACACACAGATAGAGAGAAAAAACCGGTTTTTATTTTTGTATGCATGAAATGTTCTGTTGACTGTGTGTTCCGATGATGATGATGATGATGAAAACGATTATTACCTTTCATCATCATCATCATCGGTCGATGTCTATCGAACCACATCAAAACATTTTTTTCATTTATTTCAAAGATAATTTTGCGGCTTTTTTTTGCTGGCTCTCTTTCCTTCGGTTTGTTTGACATTGAAGTAGAAAAAAGCAGCTTTACTTTTTTTTTTTTTCCAATTGACACTAGAATTGTTGTTTTTGGAATGAAAATATTGATTTTTTTTTGGTTTGTTTTTGCTGATAATTAATCAATTATATCAAATATCAGTCAATTCCATCATTGCGTGTTAGTAGAGTGTCCTAACAATCTGCAACGGGTTACACACATTGATAAATGATGTTGATGATTATCAAATATATATAAAAAATCAATTAATTAATTAATTTAAAGTTTATATTGTCATTTTCAGTTTAAATTTGATCGATCGATCACTATAAATGAATGATGTTCAGATCGTGATCCAAGAATTGATTAAAATCTGCAATGTGTTTGTGTGTGTCTGTATGTCTGATTTTTCCACGACAGAAAAATCATCATGTCTGAATTGTTGGAATTGAAAACAATTTCTAATTACAATTCTGATCATTATTTATGATTAGTATGATGATGATGATGACAATGACAACAACAACAACAAGCAACCAGAAAAAAATGATGATAATTGTTTCTAGTTGCTGCTTCTGCTGCTGATGATGATTGCATTTGATAATTGTGTACGATATTCAATTATCTAATTGGGATGACAACAATCCAAAGAGAACAAAAAAAAAAATAAAATGGAAAGCCCTAGGCCTTTGGTATTGGGTTTTTCATTTTTTTTTTTCTTGTCTCTTTTTCTTTGCTTGCATTTGATGATGACTGAAACAATTAATGAATCCAAACACGCACACAAGCAAAAGAGAGACAGGGTGAGAGAGAGAGAGAACCCGAAAACTTTTTTAATATTCAAGAATTTCAATTATTGAATAACTTTTTTTTCTCTTTTTTTCATTTTGATTTCATCTTCATTTTTTTTTTTTTTTTGGTTTTGTTGCCTGCTTCAACTTTCTTTGAACATCATTAGCATTAATATTCATTAGAATAACTTTTAATTTGTCTTTACATTTATCGTCATTTTGTATTTAGTGTGTGGTGTGTAGT